TGTGTGTGTGTGTGTGTGTGTGTGTGTGTGTGTGTGTGTGTGTGTGTGCTTACTTCTACTCCAGTATTGGCCTCATCTCAACCAAAGCTGGATCTTAAAAATTTAGGATATTTAAGGTCTGAGGGTCTGTCCTCAATTCTCCTCAGGCAACAGGACAAGGAGGGAGGTCAAAGCTCAGAATCCTGACTCCAGATAACAAGGGCAGCACAGGAAAAATAGGAGAGAAGGCATGAATTCATTATAGAATAACAGCCTGAGCAGGCACTTACCAAGTGAATTGGGAAGGAAATTTCTGAGAAGGCCTTAAGAATGTGGAGGAAAAGGAGCAGTTAATCTGAAATACAAAATTGAAAGGCATGACAGATGCATGATTCTAGTCTTCCAGATAAGATTCCTTCTGGAATTCAAAAGCATCTAAAAGAAGCAAGACAATTGGCTGCTGGGTTCGATATGTAAACACAGTGCTGGTTGACACAGTGAAGATGTTTATTACAAAAGTTAATGCAATGTCAGGGCGGAAGATCAATGTTTAACCCGATTTTGTTGCAATCTGTTGGCTTGCCTTGGAATACAGAATGGAAAATTAGCAAAGCACAGCAAGGAATATGCAAGGGACTTTTTTTATAAGCAAACTGTCAAATCACGGACACTGACATTTGTGATAATAAAAACAAGTCAAGATTTACTTGTATTTGTAGTTAATACATGCCTCTTACATTGTATATTCACATTTTTTTATTAATTTGAGTAATACATTATAATTTTTATTTACTTCAATATCCAGATAGTCACAGATTATTAGAGATTCTCCATGTTCATTTAATCTACTATGTATAGATTAAATCCTAAAGAACAAAGTTGAAGTTCAACTTTGTTCTTTAGGATTTAATGAACAAAGCTTTCATTTCACAGGAAGGAAAAGACGAGCATGAGACCCCTAGGAAGAACGTTATCTATGTTGTGAATCTGGTATTTTAATACTAACTGATGAGCCTGTGCTTGATATACTCAGCATTCTCACTACAAAAATATATTTAGCATTCTGTGATGTAAAATATTCTGCAAGCATCTAATACTCATTACACTGTAGAAAAAATAAAGATCATACTTTATGGTATAGAAATAAAAATAAATACTTGGGGCTGGACAGAGAAATGAGTTGAAAAAGCTTTTGATGCCTTCACATGACCTCTAGCTTCCTTATAATTTGGTAATATCTACAGAAATGATTGCAGTCTTCTTCTACAATTATTATTAAAGGCAATTTTTTCTGTTTGTATTTAGGAAGTTATCACTTGAAAAACAAAAAGGAACTATCACTTGGAAAACAAACTAAAAAATGACTTTTTCCCATTGTATTACACTTCAGAAAAAGCAACACTCTGAAAAATAATGCTATATATTTTCTGGGAGTGAGGAAACCTGTTAAAAGATGCTGGGGAGAGTGAAGCGTGAGTTTCTGTACAGCAGCAAAAGAGTGACCTCACAAAGGCTCTCACTGCTATGTGGCTGTGGAGCTCGCTCCTGTCAAAGGCATGATTAGTGCAACCCCCCAGTGCAGCTGTCCATTGAGGGTGACCAATATAAAAAGAAGGAGTCAGTGGTTAATTACTTTGTCAGCATTAAATATAACAATGGGCCGTGGTGGCAGCTCAATCCCGTGATGCATGCAGGCAGCCATCTGTACATCTTCCCCATCTACTTGGTACTTGTTGCTGCAGAATTGGTTTGGACAAGTGGCTTACAGTCACATAACAGACAAGAACTGTCTCCCCTTCTCTGGGAGGCTGTCTACATTAAGTGTTGCTGTTTCAGAGGAATCAACTTTGGGTAAAAACTGGGGACTCAGCAACAGCCCTGGCCCTAATGATAAATAAGGAGATTATTCATGCAAACTTGTTTTTATTCCTTCACTAACATTTCTTGAGAGACTTCTGTTTGTCAGGAATATACCATAGGAGTACGAAAAGAGAACTGAGTCTGTTTATATAGCAGAAATTGATATACAAAAACATAACAACCCTAGTAATTTCCTGTGTATTTTATGGCCAGTGAACTGGGTAGCTCTAACTTAAACAAGTCCACTGTTATAATCCACATGGATAATTAAAGTTGATGAGTTGACTGGTTCTTCCCTGTTATTTTTTTTTCTTTTTGGTCTATTTATCCAACCCTTTTTGCCTCTTTTTCTTCTTTGAACTCTTTGACTAATTTTTGAAGGTAGCTATTTAAAAATAAAAGGTAGCACAGAAAAGCTGTATCTAATACTTGTCTACTTAAAAACAATGGAAACTGTTACTTTATGTTATTAACACTTGATTTATTATTCCTTTAGCCAAAGATGGTGAATTGCTGGTTTGATAACCATATTTTAATTTTAGTTAGATTTTGTCAAACTCCAGAGGGATATCATTCCAGTCCTGTTCCTCAGTATTAATGAATACTTTAGAATCAGGTAGATCTTTCTTCTCCTCATGCCCAGGGGGGAATATTTATAATTTAGGATGAAAACAAAAGTGCTATCAAGACACATTACTCTACAGTTCTTCTATTCCTTCTTTCCTTTGTATTGTCCACCTTTTAATCAATTTCTCCATTTCTACCTTTTTTTCCCATTATTAACCCTATCTAGACTTGTTATCTCTAATTTCTATCCAGAAATATAAAGCACAAATATTTTAAATAAATGATCATTTAAATTTCTTGTTTTTAATTTTCAAAAGTAGATAAGATAAAAATTCTATATTTGTTTCTTGCTAAGGGGTTTTTAGTGAATCAGAGCTTTTTCTAAAATGAGCAACAAAGAGAATAAGAAGGAGGAAAAGAATAGAAATTCACCTTACTCTGTTCATTCCATTTTGCCTCAAATAGATCTTATGATGAGTTGGTGTTTTTAAATAGCGTATTACTCTGATGAGTGGAAGAGAACACACTGACATGTTATTTCAAACACAATATAGATTTAGTTGGAAAATGAGTTTTGATGTTATAGTCATTCTCTTGCTCTTTTAACATTCTCTTCTGAAAAGCAAAAAAACTAAAAGTAACGCTTTTCTTTCTTTCCTTCTCTCTCTGCTTTTCCCCTTATTCCCTTTTTTTCTTATGTTTTATTCTTTTATCTTATATCTCTAAGTGCTTAATATCTGCCAAGACTTGGCTGGGTGCTGGTGAAAGTGATGAACACAGTCTATGCTCTTATTCTCTCTCTCCCCTTATTCTCTTCCTTTCTTTCTTCTTTTTTATTCTTTTATCTTATACCTTTAAGTGCTTAATATGTGCCATGACAATGCCAGGTTCTGGTGAAAGTGATGAACACAGCCTATGCCTGCAAATAGCTTATGATATAGTTGAAAAAATGGACAAGTTGAAAAGCAGTTTTAAGTGTCTATAATCATGAATTTATGAAAGCTCGTTATAAGAGGGATGTTCAGCTTAGTCTTGGGGAATCTGGTAAAGCTTCTCCCGGGTGAGTATCATCTAAGTAGACGTTTGAAGATTGGTTCAGCATTAGTTAGGTGAATAGGAATAGGGGTCATTTGGGGGGCATTGTAAACATCAAGAAGATGTCCACAAAGGAGAGAGAAAAATAGAATTGTTTTTTAAAATTATACTTTAAGTACTGGGGTACATGTGCAAAACGTGCAGATTTGTTACATAGGTATACACGTGCCATGGTGGTTTGCTGCACCCATCAACCTGTCACCTACGTTAGGAATTTCTCCTAATGCTATCCCTCCCCTAGTCCCCCACCCCGCAACAGGCCCCACTGTGTGATGTTCCCCTCCCGGTGTGCAAGTGTTCTCATTGTTCAACTGCCACTTATGAGTGAGAACATGTGGTGTTTGGTTTTCTGTTCTTGAAAACACAGATTTTTTTTTAAACTTTATGTTCTGGGGTATATGTGCAGATCGGGCAGGTTTGTTACATAGATATGCACGTGCCATTGCCATGGTGGTTTGCTGCATCCATTTCCCCCGTCATCTCCATTAGGTATTTCTCCTAATGTTATTCCTCCCCAATCCCCCCACCCCCTGCTATCCCCCCCAGCCTGCCTACCCCCTGACAAGCCCCAATATTTGATGTTCACCTCCCTGTGTCCATGTGTTCTCATTGTTCAACACCCACTTATGAGTGAGAGCATGCAGTGTTTAGTTTTTTGTTCTTGTGTCAGTTAGCTGAAAATGATGGTTTCCAGCTTCATCCATGTCCCTGCAAAGGACATAAACTCATTCTTTTTTATGTCTGCATAGTATTCCATGGTGTATATGTGCCACATTTTCTTTATCCAGTCTATCATTGATGGGCCTTTAGGTTGGTTCCAAGTCTTTGACATTGTAAAAAGTGCTACAGTAAACATACATGTTCATGTGTCTTTATAATAGAATGGAAAACACAGAATTTTTAAGATCACTTTTTCCTGCTACCTCATTCCTACCTGATTATGGAAAGCCCTGCAATGTGTGTTTGTGCAGTGTGTGTGCACGTACACATGTGTGTGCCTGTGTGTTTCTGTCTGTCCAGAGGAATTATATTTGTCTAGAGAAGGATAAGATGGTCTGAACAGCTTGCTTAGAAATTTCTGGAGAGAAGAAAGGAACATCTAAAATATAAAAAAAAAAATAAAAACTGCTATTTACTGGGTATTTTATGACGTGACAGTCACTGCTAAATGATTATTGTAATCAGTTTTTAATTGATGGATATATTATTAGCAATACTATTATGCTTATAAATAAATAAGTTAAATGCTTTAAGGATTTAAGCAAGTTTTCCCAAGACTCAATAGATTTAAGAGTTTGAGGCAGTTTCTGAAACCAGCAGTTTGATTTGATAATCCACTCTCTTAATAGTATCTTATACTACCTCATGAAAATGTCAAAAACTGAAGATCTAAAAGAACAAAAACAAAGACATAAACAAAATATACTTGGGCAGTGTGTTAACAGTAGTAACACTAATACTTCTTCAGTACCTGCTTTGTATAAGACACCATGCAGGGAACTTTGGCAAATATAAGAAACATAATTATTTCTTACATAATTATCTAATTATTCTATTTCTCCTGTAGTTTATCTCTTTAATATTTACAATTTAGATAAGGAAACAAGAAATGGGTACAAATTCATAATGCTGAGTAGCAATAATCAAATAACATTTGTATTGCATTTTGCAATTTCTGAAATCATCTTCACTTACATATATCATTTGTCTTACAAAAATATGTGAGTCAGCTTGTTATGGAAAAGGGCTATGTAAGAACCTCAAATATTAGTGGCTTGTAACTACTACTAACCTTTTTTCATCTAGTTTTTGGCCTGTAGTTTTGCTTTGATT